AGATGTTTTAATAACAGGTTCTATTTTTTTTTTTTTTTAATGACAATGAGACTGTTCCTGTTCCTGGCAGCACCAATCTACCTCAGAGAAGATGATGGGCATGGAAGAAATGCCACATGGAGTTTACTTTCTTTGTGGCAAAAGTTAGCCACTGGGCAAGGAAAAGCCCTTCCCTTGACTGCTGACAATATGCTGTGCAAATGGGACAAGTAGGACACAAAAGGACTGCTGAACCTTGCCAAGACAAGGGAGGACAGTCCTTCAGAAAATCCTGCTTCAGAGATAAGTCTGTTAGATATGCTAGGTCTGTACGATGAAGACGGATGCCCCAAGGTTGCAGAGGAACCTTGGGTGACTGTCCAGGCAGCCAGATGTTTCTGTCATTTCTCAAATTTTTTGGAAGTTGCTTGATTGCACTTCCCACTTACTCAGGTAATATTATTTCCTTCTCGGGTCTCTGAGGGAGTTCAAGACTAGACAGTTATAGTTTTCCTTGTTAACAAATTCAGAAAAGAAACTCACTAAAGAGGTGTAAAGTGTGTAAGTTTGAAAGACATCAAAAGATAGTTTTCGGCCGGGCGGTGGTGGCGCACGCCTTTAATCCCAGCACTCGGGAGGCAGAGCCAGGCGGATCTCTGTGAGTTCGAGGCCAGCCTGGGCTACCAAGTGAGTTCCAGGAAAGGCGCAAAGCTACACAGAGAAACCCTGTCTCGAAAAACCAAAAAAAAAAAAAAAAAAAAAAAAAAAAAAGATAGTTTTCGGGGCTGGAGAGATGGCTCAGAGGTTAAGAGCACTGACTGCTCTTCCAGAGGTCCTGAGTTCAATTCCCAGCACCCACATGGTGGCTCACAACCATCTTTAATGAGATCTGACACCCTCTTCTGTATATATAATAAATAAATAAATCTTTAAAAAAAAAAGTGATTTGCTAAAAAAAAAAGATAGTTTTCAATTGGTAATACAAGTTAGGATAGAAAGTGAATCAGGTACAACACTTTGGACTCACCAAAATAGGATAAATAACGGACTATTTTCTTGGAATCTGTCAAATGTTAATGAGCTGGACATTGTTAATGTAATTCTTGACTGTATATATTGTATATATGTATTGTACTTACTGTGTACACTTTTTCTTATATTAGTTATAATCTTTTATAATTTTAGACAAAAAGGGAGAAATGTGGTGATATTTTGTTTGTACTCTAACCAACAAAAATTTGCCTGAAGATCAGAGGACAGTGCCAGTCACTACATTAAACATAGAGGATAGGCAGTGGTGGCACACACCTTTAATCTCAGCACTTGGGATCTCATGCCTTTGCCCCCAGTATTTGGTAAGCATACACGCCATTTAATACCAGTACTAGGAAGGTTGAGACAGGAAGGATATGGTTGGGCAGCGAAAGGCATATAAGGTGGGAGGAGACAGGAACTCTCCCCTTTCTGCTGAGGAGTTGGCGAGGTGAGAAGTGGCTGTGGCTTGTTTCCTCTGATCTTTCAGCATTTACCCCAATATCTGGCTCCAGGTTTTTATTATAAGACCAATTAGGATTCGTGCAACATTCCTGACACTAGATGAGTGACCAAGACTTGAGAGTAGACAGCCAGGGTAAAACCAAATACTACTGTGTTAAAAATCAAAAAGAAAAACGAAGTAATAAAAATGGGTCCTAATGGCATCCTGCTATACTTAGTAGATCATTGTCTGGCTCAGCCATCATCAGAGAAGCTTCCTCATGCAGCAGCTGGGAACAAATGCAGAGACCCACAGCCAGACACTATGCAGAGAATGAGACCTTGGGATGCTCAGCACTAAAAGGGATGTTTCCATCAAATCCCTCCCCATAGTGCCCAGGGAACTTCGTGGAAGAGGAGATGGAAAGAAACAGTGTAAAAGCCAGAGAGATGGAAGATACCAAGAAAACAAAGGCCTCTTTTTTTTTTTTTTTTTTTTGTTTTGTTTTGGTTTGGTTTTTCGAGACAGGGTTTCTCTGTGTAGCTTTGCGCCTTTTCCTGGAACTCACTTGGTAGACCAGGCTGGCCTCGAACTCACAGAGATCCGCCTGGCTCTGCCTCCCGAGTGCTGGGATTAAAGGCGTGCGCCACCACCACCCGGCTCCAAAGGCCTCTTAATCAACATGATCAAAGCACTTATGATTTCAAGGAGACTGAGGCAGCATGCACAGGACTTGCACTACCCAACCTGCACCAGGTCCTTTGTGCATAAGTTGATTATGGCCGCCAGTTTAGTGTTTATATGGGACTTATGAGTGTGCAACCAAGTGAGTTTCTAATTCTTGTGCTTTCTCTTGGGTGATTTCACTTTGGTTTTTTTGTCCAGTTCCAATGTGGGAGTTTGGTTTCAGCTTATTTTATTTTATTATTATCCCTTAGAAACCTGTTTGTTTTCTAAAAGAGGCAGAAAGGGAGTGGATCTAGATGAGAGGGGCAAGGGAAAATAGGGAAGATATAGAAGGAGGGGAAGCCATAGTAAGGATACATTATTGGTGAAAAAAAAATCTATTCTCAATAAAAGGAGGGGGGAAGAAGATTAAGGAAACCTAATAGTGAATACATTCAAAAAGTCTGATGCTGAAATGTCCACAAAACTAAAGTCAAACCAAAAATGTTCATCAAAATGGGAAAACCCATAGCAAAAACTGAACTTGTGAGCATCCTTGTGAGACCGTAATTTTCTTAGGATAATAGTAATAGTTGTTTACATTAACGAGGATTGATAGAAGGTTGTTAGTGGATAATATTCTACCAATGGATACATGAAATACTTAGAATCAAGTGTCATATTAGTGACTTACCATCAAATAGGTCAAGAGAAAATGTTTAAAATGTAGTTGCTGACATAGACACGGAACATGACATCAAATGTTATCAATTAGTATATTTAGATGACTGTACTTCTTTTTGATGCTTTATTTAAAAATATTTTGTTGTTGCCTGCATTTTTTTGGTTTATTTTGAATGATTCATTTATTTTATTTTATGTGTTTCTGTGAGTGCCTGCATATATGTATGTATATCATTTGCATGCCTGGTACCCAAGGAAGCCAAAAGAGAGCATCAGATCCTGTGGAATTGGACTTATAGATGACTGAAAGCCTCCATTGGGTGTTGAAAATCCATTGGGTATTGGGAGCGAAACCTGGATCCTCTGTAAGATCAGCAAGTGCTCTTAACCACTGCACCATCTCTCCAGCCCATGTTTTGATACGGTCTCATGTAGCTAAGGCTGGCCTCAAACTCAATACGTAGCTGAGGATAACCTTGAAGTTCTGATCTTCCTGCTTCTACCTCCCAAACTCTGTTATTACAGATATATCTCCTGTATTAGACAGGGTTCTCTAGAGGAAGAGAACTGTTCATTCTATATATATATATATATATATATATATATATATATATATATATATATATATATATATATATATATATATATATATATGGGATTTATGAGCGTGGCTTACAGGCTGTCATCCAACCAGGCCAACAATGCCTGTCTAACAACACAGAGTCTAAGAATCCAGGGGTTGTTCACTCCATGAGACTGGATGTCTCAGCTGGTCTTCAATACATGCTGGAATCTGAAGAAGTAGGCTCTCATGCCAGTGAAGGAATGGACTTGCCAGCAGAATGAGGGGGAGCAGACAAAATGAAAGAGCTTTCTTCTTTCACATGCTATTTACAGGCTGCTATCAGATGGTGGAGCCCAGATTTAAGGTGGATCTATACCTCAAAAGATGGATTAAAGGTGGTACTTCCCACTTCAAATGACCTAATTAAGAAAAATCTCTCACAGGTGTACCCAGCTGCTTGGGTTTTAGTTAGTTCCAGATGTAGTCAGGTTGACAACCAAGAAGAGCCATCACAGCCCCCATGCCAAGCTAGGTAGAAGGCTGTGTTGTGTGCGCTCACATGTTGTTTCATTGGCTTCTCTACCTATTCTTTTTTAGTCATGGTCTCTCATTGCCTGGAGCTTGACAGGCAAACTAGGCTAAATTGTCAACAAGACAAGGGATCAGCCTTTTCCACTTCCCCAGTGCTGCAGTTAGAAGCATAGGTCACACCATCACATGTTGATTAGAGTGACTATGAAGATATACAATTAAAATATTTGCTATGCCTCACTGTGCTCCTGAATTCACTGGTGTTCAAATTGTCTTATCATTGGGTCAGTGGTTAAAGACACTGACTGCTCTTCCAGAGGACCTGGGTTCTAGTACCAGCAGCCACCTGTAACTCCAGCCCCAGGGGATCTGACACTCTTTTATGGCCTCTTTGGGTACCTGCATACATGTGTACACACACACACACACACACAACCAGTAATACAATACATTTAAAATGGTAGAAAGAGGGTAACTACTCCAATAAGAGGGAAAAAGGTGAGAACAACTTAGTGACTCATGAACTATAAGGCCCTGTGACAGCCTTTGCTATGATGACCTTAACTTCCTTCCCAGGTCTCAGGCATGTTCTTCCACAGGCGTTAGCGATTTGAAGAAAGTGTGTCAACCCAGTGTCAGGCATGAGGCGACTCTCCGACCACATGCTGTGCCTGGCAATTCTGGAGCCCTGTCTTCCTGTGGTGATATTTTGTTTGTGCTCTAACAAATAATGCTTGCCTGGAGATCAGAGTGCAGAGCTAACCATTACAGGTGAGGCAGTGGTGGCACACACCTTTAATCCCAGCACTTGGGATCTCATGCCTTTGATCCCAGTACTTGGGAGGCACATGCCTTTAATCCTAGCACTTGGGAAGAGGAAACAGGAAGTGATATGGTTGGGTAGAAAGAGGAAGTAATAAGATAGGGTGGAGACAGGAGCTTGGCCCCTTTCAGTCTCAGCATTCCTAGAGGTAAGAAGTCTTTCTAGTGGCTGGCTGCTCTGCTTCTCTGATCTTTCAGCTTTCACCTTGATATCTGACTCCAGGTTTTTATTATTAATACCAATTATAAATCGAGATACACCTTCCTCTTACTCACCTGGGCTGGGCTTGGCTGTTTGTTTCTTCACAACCATCCAGGGCTCTCTCTTCTGCTCTAATAAGGTGATCAGATCGGGTTTGGAAACGGAACTTCCCACTTAAAAGAAAGAAGAAAGACACGTGGAGACTTTTCTTTTTTTGAGACTCAGTCTCTCTTGTTATTCCAGGATGACCTGGAACTTGATATGATAACCAGCATGTCCTAGAACTTACATGATCTGCCTGCCTCTGCCTCTCAAATGTTAGGATTAATGGTGTGTGCCACCATGAGTTACCTGTGTAGACTTTTAAAACTGCAGACTTATTTATTATAAAGGTCTATAGAGGTTGGCAGGTGGACCATGCCTGTCAGCCCAGCAGGTGGGGAATGAGCCGGGCAGCCATAACAAGACCCTTGAAATGCAAAAAGAGATTTAAAAAAAAAAGCCTAAATAATCCTGAGGAAAGATTTTAGAGAAGACAGAGATGAACCAGCTGGGTGACAAACCAGCTGTTTCAGAAAAGGGTTTAATGTCATTTAAATGCAGACAGGGGCTTGTCATTTAAGGGGAAGTACATATAGTGGGGGAGAACATGAACCCTTATGCTACACCGTCTAGTGTAAACTCCATCTCTGCAGCTCACTAACAATGCCATTAAAAATTCTCCTAAGATTCCATGTGCAATTTTCCTATATAAAACCTGGGCATGGTGGCACACACATGAAATCGCAACACCTGAGAGTGGAAGCAGGAGATGAGAAGTTCAAGGCCAGCCTTAGTTTCATAAGAACTCCAAAGCCAGTCTATGCTACATGAGACCTGACATCAAAAAAACAAATAACAACAACAACAACAATAATAATAATTGTGCTGATATCAATTGGATAGGGCTGATACTAAGACTAAGTAGTATATTCAAGTACTTGGAATACTGTCTGACCTACAGTAACACTATCATTTTTTTAAATTTCCATTCATTTATTTTCTAATGCTGGGGATTGAACTAGGACCTTGAGTATGCTGTGTAAATGCTCTACCACTGAGTTATATCGCCAGCCATGAAAACTGTTATCATTTTGTTAATTATGTTGCCTTCTTTCATACTTGGACCTCATTTTTACAGATTTGCTCAATGAAAAATTCACAGCCTCAAACTTCCACAACAAAGTAGGTAAAGGAAGTGTTTGTTGAGGGAAACAGAATGTGTCCACTGTGTCCATTTCTGTTTTGAATTAATTCTATTGATTCATTAGTAAGTAAATCATAAAGGCTCTTTTATTTAGTTGTGTATGCATGCATGTACAGTGTATTTATGTTTTTATGAGGGTGTATGCACAAGTGTGTATAAGCATGCATGTGTGTCTGTGTACAGATCAGAGAGCAGTGTGAAGTTTCTCTTCATTTGCTCCCCACTTTGGTTTTTTTTTTTTTTTTGTTTTTTGTTTTTTTTTTTAAGATTTATTTTATTTATCATGTATACAGTGTTCTGTCTGCATATATGTCTGCAGGCCAGAAGAGGGCGCCAGATCTCATTCTAGATGGTTGTGAGCCACCATGTGGTTGCTGGGAATTGAACTCAGGACCTCTGGAAGAGCAGCCAGTGCTCTTAACCTCTGAGCCATCTCTCCAGCCCCCCACTTTGGTTTTTGAGACAGAATCTCTCCCTGAACCCAGAGCTCATTGAGAGGATCTCCAAGGTGTGGACTAAAAGCAGGTGCTTCATGAAGCTCCTCCTTTCAACCAAGGAAATCTCACAATATTCCTTTGGGAAGGAGGAGGAACTCAGCTACCTCTTTAAAATTCTATTGACTTAAATTTCTTTTATGTGAGGATCTGTCTACAAGTATGCACCACATGCATGTATGTGCACATAGAGGACAAAAGAAGGCATCAGATCGCTATGGAAATGGAGTTACAGATGGCTGTCAGTCACCTTCTTGTGGTAAGAATTAACCCAGGTACTCTGCAAGAGCAGACCACCAAGCTGTCTCTCTACTCCCTAATTATATTTACTGACTTATTTATTTGCTTACTTACTGCATTTTGTTTGTTTGTTTTGTTTGAAAAAAATGGCCTCACCCTGTTAGCTTTGAATTCTCTATGTACCTGAGAGTGACCTTGAACTCACAACAATATTCCTGCCTTAGCCTTATGAGTAAAGGAATGACAGGCATGGCCACCAAGACCAGCTTCAGCTACCACAGGAAAATGGCCCTGTCTTTTCATTCAGAGAGAGGAAAGCCAACAGTGTAGAGAGCACATCCCCCTTTCATGGGGACAGATGGCCTTACCCACTGTGACGAGGTTGCTGTAGGTCTCCAACATTATGTCCCTGTATAAGACCCTCTGAGAAGCATCCAGGTAGGCCCACTCCCCCCGAGAGAAGACAACAGCCACATCTCTGAAAGTCACTGACCCCTGAAACCACAAACACAAATTAGAGTCAAATTGTGGAAGTGTTCAAGATGGAAAAGCAGAAGTGAAAGGACTCAAGAACAGGAAGAAGACATGGAAATGTTCAAAGTACCTGACTGCACACCCTCCCCCAGTAAAGGATGACGGTACCCACTCTACACATCTAATAAATATGCATTTCAATTCCATCCACACCCTTCAAGTTATAGCCCAGAAGAGAGAAATGTCACCCAGGTTCAGTGTAAACTACCTAAGAAATAGTGTGAGTCCTTGAGTTTATTATGGTATCAGATGATATCAGTAAGATTTTTTTTGTCACAAGAATGATTTTTGCAACTATGTAAGAGTCTGTAAACTATGTAAGGGTTCATATTACTGGCATATTAGGTTTAATGGGTTTTCCTTAAAAACAAAAAACAAAAACTTTCGAGGTGAACAGTGTGTCTCAGGTCTTCCTGGACTCTGGAGACGACAGCCCCCTCCCAATCACAGCCTGGATGACCTTTCCCTCTCATCACTGAACTCTCTCTTAAAGCCCCTCAAGCAGGTCATCTCACACACATGCACCGAGGCCATTCACTCTCAAACCCTGTGTCATCAGCCTGAAAACACCAAAGATGTCAATCAGGAGTCCCAGTGCAGTCAAAGGAGACCATCACCTCAACGTTCTGAAACCCCCAAAGACCCTGCTTCCCTGTGGACTGTCACCTCCTCTGCAACGACAGTCCTCCCTGACCACAGACCAGGCAGAAAGCAGATGTGCAGGGTTGCATTCAAAGAAAACTCCAGAACCAGCAGGAAAGAGCCACAGACAGGAAGTGCTCTGGTCTTGCAACCCTCACTGTAATGGGCAGACTGGGCTGGAGGACTTCAGGTCCTTGGGAAGCTTCACAAGAGAAGACAGCAAAGACTCACCTAACCTGAAAGTCACCCTATGTAAAGAGACAAAGGTCAACTTACACAGACCATGTCTTGAGAACTAGAGCTGGCCATCCTTCTTCAGGATCCTCCCCTGGGGGACAAAAAGAAAGCCTTTCAATGGATTGTGACTTGATGTTCCCAGACTGACTTAGGTCAGCATGACTTCATTGACTACTTTTATATCTCAAGCATCCCCACTCACACACTCCTCTCCCACTGCTCATAGCCTCCCACACACAAATTAGAAGCAGACAGGAGTCTACACAAAGACGATTCTGTTTTGTTTTTGTGTTTTTTGAGACAGGTTTCTCTGTGTAGTCCTGGCTGTCCTGGAACTTGAATGGTAGACCAGGCTGGCCTGGAACTCAAGAGATCTGGCTGCTCCTGCATCTAAACTATGATCCTTTATAATTAGTTACAAAACATGCTGTAACAGGAGGAATAATTTATTTCCCTCTTTCAATAATTTCCAAAATATACCAATATTTTTTATAACATCATGTTAAATTCATTCTATGTGTTCTAAGTCTTGAGTCTAGCACTGGGTTTCTAAACCTCAACACTGCTGACATACTTATTCTGTTTTGAGGTGTATGGGAGGACTATGTTGTGCTCTGTACAACCTTCAGCAGCATCAACCTCTACTCAAGATCTGAGTAGCACACACATCCTCAGAACTCCCTACAATGTTGGCCTAGGGAGCAGGCATCACTAAATGTGGAACCAGTGCTCTACCCAACAGGTCTAGCTAAGCCTTGGTTCAATACACTTTGGGATTGTTAGTTTAATTACTTCTTTGCCTATACTAGACTGGCCCTGAACTCCTAATGCTCTTTTCTCCATCTCTCATGCAGGGATTACAGGCATGCACAACCATGCCCAACTCTCAAATATATATCTGATAATCTTAAGAAATTATACATTTTTGTCTCCCCACAAAATTCAAATACAAATTTTCTTTCTTTTCTTTCTTTCCTTCCTTCCTTCCTTCCTTCCTTCCTTCCTTCCTTCCTTCCTTCCTTCTTTCTTTCTTTCTTTCTTTCTTTCTTTCTTTCTTTCTTTCTTTCTTTTTCTTTCCTCCCTCCTGCCTCTGCATACACCAGGCTAGCTAGCCTTCCAGGAATTCTCTTGTCTCTCCCTCCCATCTTGCAGTAGAACACCTGGGATTAGAGACATGCATTGCTGCATCTAGCATTGCATAGTTTCATGCTTGGAAGCACTGTACCCACTGAGCCATCACCCCAGCCCACATGTCTGTGATAGTTCAGTGTGTGACTTCATGACATTTATGACTGCCTTTGTTTCATGAAGCTTGTGATCCCAAAAGCCATAAATGAAAGTGCAGGAAGTCCTTCTAGATGTGGTAGCATAGGTCTATACTGCCAGCACTGGAGAGGCAGATGCAAGAGGCTTCTTCAGTGTCCTAGACGAGCTTGGCCCACGGGTTCCACATTAACCTTTGCAATCAGTGGCACTGGCAAACTCAATTTTAACATGCAGTAGAATGACACTAGACCTTCATTCACACCATATGCAAAAGTCAACTCAAAACAGATTAAAATTTAAGGACTTAAACTGATACTACTAGAAAAAAAATAAACAGGAAAGCCTCAATGACACTGGACATTTTGGATAAAAACACAAGGAACAAAAGAAAATGGACAAATGGGATTTACATCAAACTAAAAACTTTACACAGCAGAGGAAACAATCAAGAGTAGAAGGATGATCTAGAGAATGGGAGAGAAGATTTGTAAACTACATATCTGACATGGAGTTAACATCTAAACTCTTCCTGCACAGCGACTTTACAAGGAATGCAGAAAATTCAGTGACAAGGACACATGCTAATAAGGAAAAAGGAAAACACACAGACATTTCCCCACAAGGAACATCAATGTAGCCGATTAGAGGTACATGAAAAATAAGCATCAGAGAGATACACATTAAAATCACAATGAGAGGCCTCCTCATGCCTGATAAGACAGTCAATTACCAGGGGGGCTGGAGAGATAGCCCAGTATTTTGAGAGTACTTTATGCTCTTGTACAGAACCTGAGTTCCATTTCCAGCACCCACATGGTGGCTCACAAACATCCCTATCTCCAATTTCAGGGAACTTCACACTCTCTTCCGGCCTCCTCAGGCAGCAGGCATGGACATGGTGCAAATACATTCATGTATGCCAAACACTCACAAATACTAAAAAAAAAAAAAAATCTTTTTAAAAACAGTGTCCATTATCAGAAAGAAAACACAATTTAGAGAATGTGGAGGAAAAACCACTGGAGAAAATGTTAATTAATATAGTCACTGTTGGAAACAATATAGTGGATTCTCAAAAACTACAAACAGAACTGTCACATGATCCATCAATCCCACTACTGAGTAGAGACATACAAGGGTAATCAAATCAGTACCTCAGAGACACTCTCACATTTATTCCAGAATAATTTACATATCTGTGATATGCCATCCTACCAAAGGATGAATGGACAAAGAAAATCCAGAATGAGGTTCACAGACACAGTGCAACAATATCCAACCGTTTACTACAATATGGGTGAACATGGAGGAAAACAAGGGAAGTAAGCTAAAGACAAAAAGACAAATGGTGGGGCTGGAGAGATGGCTCAGAGGCTAAGAGCTGGTATGGCTTTTCCAGGGTCAGGAGTTCAATTCCCCTACAACTCACAATGCCTGTAACTCCAGCTCCAGTGGATCCTATTCATCTGGTCTCTGAGGGTACCTGTGCTCATGTACGTATAACTCCACACACAGAATTTAAAATGAAAATAATTAATCTTTAACAAAAAGACAAACACCCACCACCTCACTCATGCTGAATCTGAAAACATTATCTCATAGGAACAAGTAAAATGGTGGATAATGGGGGTGTGAGTGGCTGAGGTAATGAGGGTGTGAATGGCTGAGGTAATGGAGGTGTGAGTGGCTGAGGTAATGGGGGTGTGAGTGGCTGAGGTAATGGAGGTGTGAGTGGCTGAGGTAATGGAGGTGTGAGTGGCTGAGGTAATGGAGTGTGAGTGGCTGAGGTAATGGAGGTGTGAGTGGCTGAGGTAATGGAGGTGTGAGTGGCTGAGGTAATGGAGTGTGAGTGGCTGAGGTAATGGAGGTGTGAGTGGCTGAGGTAATGGAGGTGTGAGTGGTTGAGGTAATGGAGTGTGAGTGGCTGAAGCGGGATGTGCAACATCATGGTTGAGAGTGGGAAATGTAGATCCATAAGGGAGTTGTGAAGATGCTGATCAAGAACTACACAAGTTCAGCTGCACAAGTTCTAGATACATCATGCAACACAGTGACTATGATTAATAGGTTTTTTTTTTTTTTTTTGGTTTTTCGAGACAGGGTTTCTCTGTGTAGTTTTGCGCCTTTCCTGGAACTCACTCTGTAGACCAGGCTGGCCTCAAACTCACAGAGATCCGCCTGCTTCTGCCTCCTGAGTGCTGGGATTAAAGGCGTGCACCACCAATGCCTGGCGATTAATAGTTCTTAAAGGCTCAGAGGGTAGACATTAAGTGTGCTCACTAAAAAATGTGACACATAGATTTAGTCATCCCAAAGGACATAAAGATTCCAAATTATCATGTTGGACACAATACCAAAAATTTGATCTAAAAAATGAAAAAAAAAATATCTTCTACATTAGTACATTCATTTTCGTTTCATTGTTTTGAGGCAGGGTCTCACTGTGTCCCCCAGCTAGCTTGGAACTTATTGTATGGACTAAGCTGACCATGAACATACAGAAATTCTCCTGTTTCTGTCTCTCAAGTGCTGAGAATAAAGGGTATACCATAAAGTCTACTTTTTTCTTTTCTTGAGTAATTTTCTTAAAAATACAACCAGTACTCATATTATTTCTAACACACCCTTGTATTACAGAGAGCTGAAGAGAATGAATCCAAAGCAACAGCTAAAACACATCAGGTGCTTACTATATGGCTGGCACTGCACTAACAGGCTTTACTACGGTCATTCTGAGGTACATGACAAGCCTAGAGATCCGGAAAAAGACAAAACTTAGACTCCAACCCAGACACTACAGATCCACATCTCCAATTCAACCACATCACTGTACATCTGGATCTGGCAAATATTACCCATTTCCACACACAGATACCCTAAAAATTACTAAAAATGACTCTCAAAGATGTCAAATTTAGTGCTATCACTTTCCCACTCCTAAAATCCTCATTAGTAAACAGAAATCACCTATCACTTCTATTCTTTCCCGCTTTGAAAAGAAGACCTTGCCGGGCGGTGGTGGTGCACGCCTTTAATCCCAACACTCGGGAGGCAGAGCCAGGCGGATCTCTGTGAGTTCGAGGCCAGCCTGGTCTCCAAAGCGAGTTCCAGGAAAGGCGCAAAGCTACACAGAGAAACCCTGTCTCAAAAAGCAAAAAAAAAAAAAAAAAAAAAAAAAGAAAAAAAAAGAAAAGAAGACCTTTAAAAATAAAAAGTCACGGGCTGGAGAGATGGCTCAAAGGTTAAGAGCACTGGTTATTTTTCCAGAGGCCCTGAGTTCAATTCCCAGCAACCACATGGTGGCTCACAACCATCCATAATGAGATCTGGTACCCTCTTCTGGCCTGCAAGCTGAACACTGTATACATAATAAATAAATAAAATCTTTAAAAAAAATAAAAATAGGGGTTGGGGATTTAGCTCAGTGGTAGAGTGCATGCCAAGCAAGCGCAAGGCCCTGGGTTCGGTCCTCAGCTCCAGAAAAAAAAATAATAAAATAAAAATAAAATAAATAATATAAATAAATAAAAAGTCACCTAATGTGTGATGCCATCAGAATACTAATCAATTTAGCAAACCGATGTTCGAAAGCCCTAACGCTAACCTCTGGAGGTTCCTATCGATAACATCTTGGGCAAATGGAGTGATTGTAGAGAGAAGACGTCAAGGATCTCTGAAACGATTATGTGAATATTAAGTGGAAAGGGAGGGGACAATGTAAGTTAAGGGCCACAGTGGTGGAGGTATCAATTGACATATTCCTCCTTCACTTACTGCAATTCTATATTCCAAAACTACAACTCGTTCCTCACACCGAACGAAAGAGCAAACTCACTCTCGAATCTTAGATGTGTAGCAATAATGTTCGCACTCTTCTCCAGGCCCTCGTTTGAATAGCGGCAGACTCGGGAGCCCGAGCAAGCAGGAGATCCCAGGCTGTGCATCCGAGTGAGCACTCTCCTTCACTTCCCACAACACCCACGATGGCTAGAGCTCCCAGAAAGTTCTGGACTCAACGAGCAGCTGCCCTCCTAGGCGACCCTCGGGGGCGCTTCCGGCCTCAAATGCTCGCCCCGAGCTCAAGTCTGGACCTCAGGGAAAGCTTCCCTCAGACTCCGTCCCTGACCTCTCGGTACCGAAGCCTGGTCCTCTGCTTCAGCCCCTGTGGCCGTGAGAGAAAGCAGGAGCAGAGAGAAGCTAGCACAGTGACCCAGACAACGCAGAGTGCTCGAGGTGTAGCCCGCGCGCCCGCACCACCGTCCCTACACACTCACACACTTCACCATCCACTCATCCCACCCCACCCTCCACACCCACACCCAGCCCGCTGGCTCCGCCTTACTCAGTGGAGAATTAGGCCAGTTACAATTTCTTACTCACACCAGAAAGCACTGACCATCCGCGATACCTCAGCCAGGACACCGGAAGGTGAGGCTTTTGTCCAGCGCGGTGCCTCATGGGAAATGTAGTTCCGGCGTCCAGAAGTACAGGAAGCCTAGCTTCTCGACGAGAAATCCCAGCATGCATTTGGGCCAGCTCGTTGGGAGCTCCGCCCAGTGGTTTTTTGGGAGTTCCCACAGAGATGCGCACTTAAACAGGAGGCTTCTGGTGTGATCAAAAGTTACTTCCGGGTTCCTCAGTAGCTTTTTTTCCTTCTTACTGGGTGTACGGACAAGCAGGAGTTTAAAGTGCAAATTAGAATAAAATCAGATAATTGCTTTGATTACGCTTTCCCTGAGACCCTCTGCAGAAGGATTCCACCTCGCTGTGCGATGGTAGGGACTATGATACATTTCAACAGATGAAACTAAAGAATTGGTTGGTTTTAAACGTGGAGAGGATGGGCAGGTTACATCAGAGATTTCGGAGAGTAAGAAGTTCTGAACCCGTCCAGGGTTGGTTCACTCATTGTTCCTGTTACCTAGATAGGAAAGTGTTACTGAGGGCCACATCAGTATGTGACAACAGAACTGTGTCTGTGTTGAAGGATGAATGATTAACATGTGAAGGTATCGTAAACAAGTACAAAAGAACGCTTCGTGTTTGTAGGAAAAATCTACTTTTGTGGTAACACGACACTGTTGAACTTTCAAGGTCACTTTTGTTGTTTCATATATTTACACAAAATTTTTGTTCATTCCAGAACGTGATAGGAAACAAATTTCAAGACAATGACATGCCTAAGAACCACTAATCCTATTAAATGAGTTATAAATGGCCCTAAACGCCTAAAGTATAAATTGTCAGATTAGATTCGAAAACAAGTCAGACCCAACCACTCATGTTAACTACAGAAAATATGTTTAAGATTAAAGTGATCATCTTTACAATAGTCAAAAGACTCAAGTCGACTTTAAAATTGAGGCAGATGGGGGACAAAGAACATTGCCAGTGATAATAAGGAGGGCAATTCCTCTAGTGAAAATAACTTGGCTAATGTGGTAGCACATGCCTTTCATTCCCAGCAATGGGGAGGCAAAGCCGGGTGGATGTCTGTGAGATGGAGGTCAGGTAGGAGGAGTTCAGTTAGGACTGTTATGCCCAGATCACGGGGACCCCCAAAAGACCACCACAGAGACCGCATCCTGCTTGTAAAAGCAAAGAGCCTTTATTATCTTCAAGCTCTGAGCTTGGTCTGTCTGTCTTTCTGATGCAGTGCTGAGGGCAGAGAGCCCTGAGCTCAGGTGGGGCAGAGTTTTTATCATAGCAGAGGTTGAGGTGAGGGGATTTCCAGGGTCCAGGACACCCTGATTGGCTGACAATTGCTTAGGGGTATCAGTAAAACAAAAATAGGTGTGTGCTAGACTCAAGGATATCTGGCCACCTTATCTAATGGTTGGAATGTTTGGGATGTCAGGTACTTCCTTATCCCTGGGTGGATCCCTGGGTAGTATCAGCTTAAGGCTTTTCCTGGCTCTGTGTGTTGCCTGCCAGTAAGCCTGTCACAGAAGCTGTGTCTAGGTCCCTAAGCCTGTCATGGCTGCTGTATGGTCAAGCTGTTTTGGGGCCCTCCACATTCCCCTCTTCCAAGAACCAATGACAGAACTCAATCATGAGTCCTACCTCTCCTAAGAACCATTAGCTAACAGATTTTTCTAGGGTAGCAACATCTGTATCTATTGCCATTTTTAAGGCCCTGTAGTTCTGATCTTTGAGTACAACCAGATTATGATCTTATATAATACCTCTTTGGTTCTGCTCAAATAAGGTCAAGTGTCTTATCTTATTGCAGAACCATTTCAGTTAATAAATTTATTTTATTATTTGTCAAATCTATTGACACCTCTGAACCTATTTTCATGGTATGTCAATGGGCATTATAGTTGGCCATCTTGCCTTTATGCCACAAAGTTTCCTTTTGACCCAGCATTTCAGCCTTTTCTGAACAGGGAACATGGGATGATGTATTCTCTTCTGGAAATGCATCAAGCTGGCATTGGGGCACCATTGTCAGGGCCCCTAAAAAGTCTGAAAGGCTAGTCAAAGGCTGGACAATGGGGCATCTGTCAGAAGCTGCAGAGACAGGGAATAATCACATAGGCTGGGCCAGTCCATGTCAGCTTTTATCAAGTCCAGAGCTCATAGTCGTCCAAAGCAGTGTAGTCAGGAACTGAAGCTTGGAAGTGTCTGCCAGCCAAGTGGAAATCTGTTGAGATAAACTTAAACTAGGAACAGAAGTTAAAATTTATCAACTTATTTGGAAGCCTTAGGCCCACCTTCTTAGTAACTGGGAAGGGCAGGAGTTCCAAGACCAGGAGAGAGAAAAATATCATCCTTTGGAATAGACAAGTGGGGAAAATTCAAGCTGTACTGCTACAGGTGGCAGGAATATATATATTATAAGAACTCAGCTGGTTATGGCAAAACCACTACCTGAAGGGATCAAGGAATTCCTTCAGAGGAAGCCAAATTCCAGGGAGCTTTTGGTGTTATTTGGCTTGTTATATATCAGCTGTCTTCTGTTGTGGAAATCATGTGTGCCTTTATAGTTTTACCAATTGATTTTTCCCTAAGAATTGCTAACAGTGTGAACTGATCACTCTTTGGACATGTACGTTCAAGGTATTTGGAGAACAGCCTCAGGAAAGGCTTCCTTGCCCCCAGCCCATCCATTTTTTGCCTTTCAGCACTGGAATCAGATATCTCCCTTAGCCACATTCAAGGACTAACAGTAATAACAGTCCAGACCACCACATGCTAGTCCCCGGATTTAAGGTAAATTCCACAAGGAGACACCACCTAGGCCAGGTGGACATTAAGTAATAGCTTTACACAATTTAGCCCGGACTCTCCTTTCTTACAGCCTTACTAACTTTATAGACCCCTAACTTCTTACCTAACCACTTCTGGCAATGTAGACTGAGCACACAGATCCCCGTTTTTCATATACTAACTGGTCATTAGCACGCAGTTGACCTCCTCTTTTACCACTCCCATTTTGGATTGTAAAAGAAAGCCTGGTGGTCACTGCCTGAGGAAAATTCTTACCTGCCTTTATGACCCCATAGAATTCAAGCCTGGTGACCTTGCTCGACCAGGGGATTGCTATTGCTTAGGTTTATAACTGGATTCTGGGAGACTTTGGAGGAATGTAGAGAACTGAGAGAATAAGGATATGGAGAAGAGAAAAGAGAATGGAAGAACTAGATGGGTAAGAACTGGAGAGGAACGAACTGAGATGGATAAGAACTGTTATGCCCAGATTGGGACTCCAAAGATACCACCACAGACCTTAGGTACAGAATGCAATAGCATGGTTTGTTTCTGTTTGTTTACAAGCCGCGGGCAGGGAAGCTCGATCCAAAGCACTCACTCGTAGTAACCGTGAGGCCAGGAGGAACTTGCTTTTTCTTTGTGTGGCTAGCTTTTTAAAGGCAAAATCCACAAGCCCTTCAGGGGCGTTGGGGGAGTTTTGCACGGGTGCAACTCAGATTGGTTTATTTTTATCTCTGTTCTCTTTTAATTGGGTGAGGGTATGTAACCTTTGAATTTACTGGTTGGTGATTACAATTTATTACTTTGGGGGCAGTCCAGCACAAGTCCCAGGCTTTGTCCTTAAGCCACCATGGGGGCTGGCTGGCCAAGCACGTACTGCACATAACTCTAAGTTGGTAAGGGGCCCCAGAGAGTAAACATCCGGCTGAACTTTGAGCAGTCAGAGTACATGCAGAAAGGGAGCTACTGCAAGGACTATGTCTTTTGTTCATGGCCCTCCCAGAAACTGCTTGCTCAAGTCTCAGGAAACTGAAATTGAGGCCTGATCTCTGAGAGAAGACTGAGCAGCCTGTTATGGCATCTGCTTGGTCCTTTCATTCCCCCCTTGAGTTGTATATCATCTCCAATCATGGAGATGTTGCTTTTGGTAAAAGACTTTATCACCAGGGTAGTAGATCATATCAGAGACTAATTGGACCAGAACATAAGAGTTTTTCCATTATCAATGGCAAAGTGAGCTTTCCCTTATTCAGTTTTTGCCATCTTCAAGTGTGTCATAGGTTCAGAGGTGGATATTGGAATTCTAGCATCCTCAGTTTAGTGGTACCCAGACAGGAATCTTCATTTAGTTAAGACACCAGTGATATAAGAGCCAACAGCAATTAGCAGAAGCACAAGGGCCAAAAGCCTTGTGATGGCTGACAGAGTTCCTTATCCTCAAGGAACTTGGAACTTTATCTCAGGTTCCCTATGACAAGAAATTCCCTTTTGAGCTAACATTCCAGGGGGTGGGGGGAACAAGGGCGATGTTTTCTCTTCTGTTACTTCCTGCTGACATTGGGACGTTGTTGTCAGGGCCCTGGAAAGCCAGAATGTTAGTCAAAGACAAGAGGGAATGTTTTATTGACCAGCTGAAGAGATGGTATGCGTATCGGCTGAATTGGTCCATATCAGCTTTCAGCAAGTTCAGGGCTCACAGTCATTTGCAGTAGGTTGTCACCAGCAAATGATGCTTGGATGTATCTGTCGGCCAAGTGGAAACCTGTGGAGACAGATACAAACTAGGAACAGAAGTTAAAACTTATGAACTTATTTGGAACTTTTAGACCCATAGTCTTAGTAATTGTAGTATTATCAATTTGCCCTGAAATCCATAGTGTCTTTTCTATCTAGAGAGCCAAGTATAGATTGGACTGAAATTTCTTTGGCCCAATGAAAAGCATCTGTAAGTCTATATTTAGAACCTGTTTATCTTTTTGAAAGAGACTTATTAGCTTTAATTAATTAATCCATTGATCAATCAATTACTAAGCTGACAAAGGTATAGCTAGCCCAGTCATCAGTGTTATCAAAGATCTGAGAAGGATAAACTTTACCTGAGTGCAGACTTTTAAATCTATTTAAAAAACAACAGAGACTATCCATTACCCAGACTGCCATCATCCCAGGCTCCTGTAGTCTTCATAGTGTTGGCAGGACAGGTGTCAGGACAGCATCAGTCTTGGCTGCTGGGCCCATAATGTGAA